TCTAGAGATGTAGTCAAGTGGATGTGAGAGGCCCTGGGTTCAATTCCCTGTATCATAAAAAGAAAAAGACAAAAAACATTTTGAAAGTTCCAAAGCAATTGAACAAAGCAATTGGTAACTAAATTAAAATTTGGCCTTCTTTGCTTTATCATAGTTAACAGAAGCAAAAAACACAGCAAGCCAACTCCTGTCAGAGAATACTGGAAAGATTCAGAAAATAGAAGTATAAGATAATTCTAAAGGTGAAAGACATAGCAGGAGAATTTTACTGAAAGACTTAAGAGGCAAAGAAGTCTGGGGTGTGGTTGTGGCTCAGTGGTGGTACGCTTGCCTAGCATGTGAGGCAATGGGTTCAATGCCCAACACCACATTAGAAAAAAAAATTAAATAAACAAAATAAAGGTACTATGTCCATCCATAATTTAAAAAAAAAAAAAAAAAGTCATTGAGGCCTTCTACCCATCCAGGTAGCAGCCTTCCCTGATCCTGAGGATGGCCCCAGCACAGCTGAGAGTTCAACACATGCCACTTTTAGAAGAGGAATATAGGACAGATAGGTCCTAAACTCTCAGCCCTCTTCCTTTACTTACTTACTAGATGCTAACTCTGGGCCAGGGGCACAGCCCAAGAGAAAAGATTTACAGATACTGATTCATGTGGATGCTCCTCAATTTAAAAAAAAAAAAAAGTTCATTCTCTATGAACACCCTACAGGGAAGCATATCAATGATAAATTATAAGCAAACAAGACTTTCAAAGTTTTATAGTAACACTCTCTTAAATATGTACAGAAAGCAAGCATTGTAAAACAGGTGAGAAAAGGCCCAGCACAGTGGCGCACACCTGTAATCCCAGCTGGGGGGTGGTGGGGTGGGGGCTGAGCAGGATGATCAGCCTCAGCAACAGCAAGGCACTAAGCAACTCAGTGAGACCCTCTCTCTAAATAAAATACAAAATATTGGGCTGGGGATGTGGCTCAAGCGGTAGCGCACTCGCCTGTCATGCGTGCGACCCAGGTTCGATCCTCAACACCACATACAAAGATGTTGTGTCCGCCAAAAAACTAAAAAACAATAAATAAATATTTAAAAAAATATATATTGTATTGTCATGTGTAGCTAATTAAAACAAATTAAAAAATTAGATATACTAATAAAAATAAATAAATAAATAAATAAAATACAAAATAGGTCTGGGAGGTGGCTCAATCATACACGTGAAGAAAGTCTACCATAAAAGATAAAGATTAAAAAGAGGTGAGGGGCTGGGGATGTGGTTCAAGTGGTAACGCGCTCGCCTGGCCTGCGCGGGGASCTGGGTTCGATCCTCAGCACCACATAAAAATAAAATAAAGATGTTGTATCCACCAAAAACTGAAAAATATTTTTTAAAAAATTTCTCTCTCTCTCTTTTCTCTCTCTCTCTTTAAAAAAAAAAAAAAAAGAGGTGAGGACAATCTCACAAAAATCACAGAGACAATGCAGGAAGCAAAAACAAACTTCAAACTCACAAAAACAATTACCATAAAACAAATGATGTTGCATCCAAACACACACACACACACACACACACACACACACACACACACACACAGAATGTTCCAAAATAGATACATTCAAAGCTTTCAGTTAAAGATGATTACCACAACTCAATAGAGCTGGGGATGTAACTCAATGGTTGCACATAGATACATGCCAGGCACTAGCTCAATCCCCAGCAAAGCCAAATACAGACAAAAAAAAATAATTCAATATAGGAATTTTTCTCAAAAATAAAGGGAGGAAAAAAGTCAAAAGAGAGAGGGTGGAGTAAGGAATAGAGGATGAGTTTGTAATATAAAATTAAAATATAAAATAAAATATAAAATGCTTAGGATTGAGGACATAGCTCAGCCGTAGAGTCATGTGCTTAGCATGAGCAAGGATTACAGGAAAGTTTCAGAAATAAATGATGAGAGAAAAGAGCAGAGAATAAATTCCAGACAATACAGTTCTAGACTCAAAAGCACCACCAAGCAGTCAAGCAGGAAGAACTTTAAAAAAGCCTCAGTAAGGTAGATTACTGGGAAATTTCAGAATGCTAAGGACAAAAAATAGAAACCTAAAAACTTCTCAAAGAAAAAGAGGAGTCAGATTAAGGACCAGCAGTCAGCAAAGTGAATAGCATCTTTATGGACAATGATAGAAGACAATGGAACAAGAGAAAAAATGACTTCCACATCAGAATTCCAAACTAGGTCAAATCAGTAACCAAGTAAAGACATTTATGCAAATGCTAAAAGTCTGAATATTTTACTACAGTGACACAGCCATATCAACCTTTATAGCAACTCAATTCACAATAGCTAAGCTATAGATCCAACCTAGATGCCCTTCAACAGATGAACGGATAAAGAAAATGTGGTACATATATACAATGGAATATTATTCAGACTTAAAGAAGAATGAAATTATGGCATTTACAGGAATTAGGAAATATCAAGCTAAGTGAAATAAGCCAATCCTCCAAACCAAAGGGCAAATGTTTTCTCTGATAAATGGATGCTAATCCCTAGTGGGAGGGGTGTTTAGGGAAGAATGAAGGAACTTTGAATGGGGGGGGGGGGGACAGTGGGAATGGGAAGGACAGTAGAATGAGACAAACATTACCCTATATACATGTATGATTGGTGATTCATAACCACTTAAGGCCAGAGGAATGAGAACTTATGCTCCACTTGTGTACAATGTTTCAAAATGCATTCTACTGTCATGTATAACTAATTAGAACACCACCACAAAAAAATTCCTGTTAATGGAGGAGAAAAGTTCCCTTTTGTCATTTTTAAGTTTGTTCTTTGTAGTTTTTGGTAGGTACTGCCACTAATAAAGTGATTCTTTAATTTCTTTGACATCCAGAAGACAGAAGAAAGAAAAAAGGAGAAAGAAACCAAATAYTAAGGCAAGCTTAGAAGCACAGCAAAACTTTCTGAATAAGTTAAGAAACCTCCATCTTCCCARGGAAGACTAACTCCAAGTGTGGCATCTGGCCTGGAGTGGCAGTTCACACCTTTAATCTAAGCTACTTTGGAACTGGCAGGAAGATTCTAAATTTGAGGTCAGCCCAACTTAGCAAGACCTTGCTTCAACCTTTTTAAAAAAATAAATAAATAAAAACAGCACCCCTTGGGTTCAATCTCCAGTACAAAAAAACAAACAAATAAACAAACAAACCTTTCTGCTGTGTATATTTCATAAATTCACAATCCTTGAGATTATAAGGAAACTTACTTACAAACTGTGCTAACATCCTGAAAATATAACACTAGTAAAAAACCTACCTTAAGTTCTGAGTTGTTTTCTGCAGTCTACCTCAAAATGCAACGTACTACCGAAAACATTATGCCAGACACAATGTTGTCCTGTCAGGAAGATCCTAGAGCATTAATCTGATTCCTGCCCTCACCAAGATCAGTGTGAAGGGGAAGATAGTCAAGGAAAGAGATCCCTGCAACACAAGGTAAATAGCAGACACAAAGGAAGCCCAGGCAGGCACCTGCCAGACCAGTGTTTCTTCCCAAAATACCTGTCCTRTGTTAACCAGCAGGCCAGCCAAGGATTAGGAACTTCCTGGCCCTAGAAACTCTCCTGAGTGCCACTGGCTTTGAACCACTGGCTRCAGTATTCCCAAGCACATGCAGGCCCTTAAGCATATACACCCACTGCAAAGGTAAATACACAGATGTGTTTGTGCATGCATGTTTTGGTCATTGATTTGTCCAATCAATATCAAGGGCAATAAGTAAATAAACAAGTAACAGTCCCACCTTGGATACTAATTCTCGGAGTGACTTCAGATAAGCCATTTACTACATGAGCACTAGTTCCCTTTGAGGCCACAGGAGACCATGGAATATTCCTCTCTCTTCCTTGAGGCGGAGACTCCTCCCTTTCATAGTCAAATGGTAGGCACCCAAAAAAGTCAATGATTTTCTAGAGCCAGGAATCAGTAACATTTTGAATTGGCCATGTTCTCTAGCTAGTTTTAATAATCCACACCATTCCTTTCGTCTACCTATCCTGAAACACTAGGAATTTATTCGCTCATTTATGAAGGTTCTTCTACGTGAACAAAACAACTAACCTATTCCAACACAAAATAAAAATCCCTGTCCTCCAGCGTTCTCAACCAAAATGAGCAACAGAATCAAATGTGAAAATAAATAAATAAAAGATAATGCACACTAATCACCTAAAACTAAAAACAGTGCAAGGATAAGAGCAAGTGAAAGGAAGCAGAGGCGGGCCCCACCCCGCATGCTAAGCCCCAGGGCTACTCCGGACTCCGAGAGGGGCAGACCACCGGGCGGGAGCAGAACCTAAAAGGCCGCAAGCTGCCCCTCCATGCTGAGGCCAGGCATGGGAAGACCGGAGGCGCAGGAGGCGCAGGAGGCGCAGGATCCGCGGAGGCAGCTGCAGGAGGAAAGGCAGTAGCAGGCCCCTGAGGTTGGACGTGTCACACCGCCAGGCAGGGGCAGGGCGGTGGCCGCACCCTGATGGTTGCTGTCTCCAGGCTGACTTGGAAAAATGAGACGCTTCGGGAGACCTTGAGAGAGGGGAGTCCCTTCGGAGGGGCTTTGGGCTGGGTGACTCTAAGGGTCACCAGGGAGGAGGAACTCAAGGATAGGGAGGAAGAAAAGTAATTCGAGGGGTGGGTAGCGGGGATGTCCCCCAAGAAGAGCGCAGGGCTGGGTGGCTGCAGGGGATAGAAAGAGGAGGGACGCCAGGAGAGGGAGTACGGAGAGAACTGCGGGGAGGGAGAGGCGGAGGYATCCTGGGGCTCCGCAGCTCTGGCGAGCCTGAGACGCCGGAAAGGGCTAAAGGGCCCCAACGGAGAGGCGGGGGTCCGTCCGGAGGACCAGGAGAGAGCTCGGGACGCATGGGGCGGCCCGGGGAAAAGAGAAAGCCCGCGGGCCTGATGCCGGGGGTGCTGGGTAGCCCCGACCGAACGGGCACAGTCACCTGTGAACACTTGGGCCGCGGGCGAGAAGCGGGCAGGAAGCGCAAGGACGCCGCTGGACTCTCGGCTCCGACCGCTGCACGTCTGGCGTCGTGTCGTCACGGCCCTGGCGTGGGTGCGCCGGCGCACAGGGCTCGCCGCGCTGGGGGCTCGCCGGAAGCTGGAGGTCAGAGGCTTGGGGTGATCCACCAGCGGGAGGAGGCGTTGACCTCAGAGTGTGGACGGCTCCTGGGGAGTTTCCCCGCCAGAAGAAGTAGTTAGCATATAAATACCACTTTGGGGTATATAAATACCACTTTCTAAGGAAAAGGGCCAGTGTTCCCTAGACAAACAGACTACTGTAGGCACCAGGCACACCCAAATGCCAGCCAAGCCTGGAACTTTAGGTAGGCCAGAAATAGGGAAGTGGTTAAAAAAAAAAAAAGAGGAACAATGAGGGCATGATAAAGGACGCTTGAACCAACGTAAATTGCCCAAAAGCCAAACCCAGAAGAATTTTAGTAATAAATCACATAAGATTAARTAATAATCTAGAGTAAAAAATAGACTGTAGTGCTATAAATGATTAAAGAAATAACTGGAGAAGGGATAAATCTTCCCTACAATGGAATTGTAATTATTAACACCAAGATGGGTGTTTTGATCCCCACAGACCCCTGAGTGGGCTGTGCAAAGGATACAGTGTGGAAAGGGATTGGGGAAAATGACCTTCCAGTGAGAAACCTGATACACACTCAGTCAAGTGATGAAAGGTAAATAACAGCCAGGCCTGGAAGTTCACACCTATAATCCCACAGCTCAGGAGGCTGAAGCAGGAGGATCACAAGATCAAAGCCAGCCTCAGCAACTTAGTGAGGCCCTAAGCAATTCAGTGAGACCCTGTCTCTAAATGAAATATAAAAAAGGACAGGGGATGTAGCTC